ATATTAAAAACAAAATATAATAAGAAGATTTTAATCAAAATTTAAAAATAAATTATAATAGCAATAATAAATAAAAAAACAAGATATAAGAAACCAAATAATAAGAAAATAATTAATTTAATCAAAATATTAAAATTTATAATGAATAATAATAATAATAATAATAATAATAATAATAATAATAATAATAATAATAATAATAATAATTACACAATTAGTCATCTTTATTTAAAAATATATATGATATTTGCGTATTATAAATAAAAATTGAATCATTAAAATAGGTTAATGTATAGCTTCTTCAACAAAAGGGTATTCTAGTTTGCAAATTTTAAATCGGACAAAATTTTTTAGATTTATAAGGAGAATTATTATTTGATATTAATATAGCTTCTAAATCACAAAAAATTGTACATATTAATGTATTTTTAGAATAATAATTTAATTTTTAATATATTTATAATAGTTTAATAAATTAAACTTTATAAGTGTATTTATTTAATTATTAACAATAACTTTATGGAGTAGCTTAGGTTGATTGTGGCATTTTTTTTATTTAAAAATATTAAAATTAGAATATTCTTCTATGGGAGAAAGAAAATAAATAATGGTATTATATTAATGATCAAAATAATAAATAAAAATTAGGAAAAATTAAAGTAACCTTTTTAATTATTTTTCTTAATTAATAAAAAAATAGATTAGTACTAAACTTATTGTTCAAAATAACATAAAAAAATAGAATAAACTTTTAAATAAAAGTTAAAATATAAATACAGAATAAGATACAAATTTTAATAGTTAATGTTTAGATATAAAGAATTTTAGTGAAAAATAAATTAATAAATAAAACAATTATGTTTCTTAATTTGAATAAATATAATTAAGTAAATAAACTATTTTTTTTTTTTTTTTGATCAATTTATTTTTAATAAGGATTATGCAAAATAGATTAAGATATAAAATAAAAAGAAAAATGATTCTTACATAAAATAAAAGTAACTTAGAAATATAAAATAATTAAATTTAATGCAATTCGTTTGAATAATCCATACAATTAAATACTAAATTATCCTTAATTTAAGAAAAAAACAAATATTTAATAAATTAATGAAATTAAAATAAATGTTAATTATTTATTTAATAATAACATTCTATATAATTTTTACTTAGTATGAATTTAATTTAAGTTATATAATTATAAAAATATATAAAGTTTTTAAATTTCTAAATAATATTAAATTTGTTTTTTTAAAATGATTATTTTATTTTTTTAAATATAATTTAAATTATTAATGTAAAAAATATTACTTATATTCTAAAATAACTAATTAATTATTTTAATTTAATAAAAACATGAGAAAATATAAATTTCAATGCTTTAAAATGTTTTTACTATTAATAAATTAAATATTCATTCTTCCTTAAAATATTTAATTTATATTAAATTAAATAATTTATACAAAAATAATAGATATATTTTATAAATAAATGATTAAAAGATAGCAAGATGCAAGCTCGCCTAATTCAGAATGAAAACTATTGGCATGTTTTTTTAGGAATAAAGATTACATATATTAAAGCAAAAATTTAATATAATATATATTTTTTATGGGTGAAATAAATTTTTAAAAATAAAATCAGTAATTGGATATATAATATTAACTAAATCGATATAATTTATATGAAAGTTAAATTCATTTATTATTTAAGACGAAACAAATGTAAGAAAATGAAAAAAAATAATTTTATTATGATTTTAATGCTGAAGTTGAGTTCCTAGATAAAGAAAAATACAAAGGATATTATAAATAAACGAAATAAATATAAGTGATGATGATAACGAAAATCAAAAATATATGTATTTATAATTATTATTTAATTAAAAAAATAATATTGATAATATTTCATAAATTGATAAATAAATGCCGAGAAAAAACTAAAAATGTTATTTAAAAACACATCTTTCTTATATTTTGAAATATTTACCAAAAAAAATTGCTTAATATAAAAATATCCTAAAAAATGATATAAAATGAGTTATAAATATAAGTAAATTAAGAAGCTAGCTACTTAAAAGGCATTATAAGAAAAGAACCAATATTTAAATAATAAAAATAAAATAATTATAAATTAGAAAAGTATTTTTTTTAAAACAATTAAAAGTATCTATTTATATATATAATGCAAATCAAAGTTTTAATTATTTTTTGTAAAGAATATAAAAAAAAAAAATTATATATAATATTTTTTTTTAATAAATAATTATTATTTTTAAACGATAATTAATTTAAGAGATTTATAAATTAATATTCACTAGACCTAATATTCTGAAGAATATGTATATTTTTATTCACTTGAAAAAAAATGTATCGAGAGAATATTTTATTAATATTCAGTCATAAAAAAAATTGCATTGTTTGCCAATTATTATCTTAGCATTTGGTCTTAAAAGAACCTAATATTCTATTAAAAATAAATTTCACTAAAAATACATATTATATTATATTAAATTAAAAATAATTGTATATTAGAGAAAAATATTTAAAAATAAAGTTTTAAACATAATAATAAGAAATAGTTAGTAATACATGAATAAAAATTAAGTTTTAAATGAAAGAAGAATATTTATATTATTTATAAATTTAATTAAAATATAATTATATAATATTTTAATTATTATGAATATTATTTTTTATATATTATATTTTATTTATTTTTATGATATTTTAATATTTCATATATATATTTTAATTTTAATTTAAATATTTTATCTCATTTAATCAAAATTAATATAACAAAATAAAATAATATATTAATTTATAAAAAATAAAAAATTGAATATAAATTAAAAAAGTTTTATAATATATATAATATTAAAATTTATTTAATATGTATAAATTAATTAAATTATTAATTTTTTTCAAATACAAAAAAATCTTTTTTTTTTTAATTAATTTATTTTTATAAATCTCAATTTTTAGATTTTTGCAATAAAAATCTTTAGATATTTTAATATATGATTATATATAAATCAATAAAAAAAACTTATATAATAAAGATCTTATAAAATTTTATTTTGTATTTTTTATATAATGTATATCCTTTTTTGAGGCCGTGATATATGAGTTCTCCTTCATCTCTTTTAACATATATTAAATAGGGACTGTTACATCCCAAATTTTAATTTTTTTTTTTTATATATACAATACATAATAAAGAGACCTATCCCTTACAATACTAGTTTACAAAGGTGAGGTTACTCTCTAAATTTGTATATAATCTGTGGAAGAATTAGATATTTTCATTATTTTCGATTGATTATACTTTAAAGCATACCTTCTATATCCAACTTAGTTTTTAATAATAATTTGTACAATGGAACCTGATAAATTCTGATGTAAATTTGTTAGGATTAGGAGAAATTAATTTCATAAAATCAAACTGAGGGATTTAAATTTCATGACAAAAAACTTTTTAATGAGTTATTGACTCACTATATCAGCTTTTCAGCAACAAAAAAAATTAATTAAAAAATTTAGACACTAGAGTTTGATTGATTTTAAAATAGAAATAAAATATTAATATCATATTTATTAAATATAAAAATATTTTTTTTGTTTAATATATATTTAATAAATATGTAAAATAAAATTATTTTTTGGCATAAATTATAATAAAATCTATAAAAACATTATATATTTTGATTCGCAAATTGATTTTCTTTTATAATTAAATATTTGGTAAGTAGTTGAATATTCGGTTTTTACTTTATATTCAGTATTTTATTCAGCTTAAAAAAGTTACTAACCATATACATTATAAAATTTTCATAACAAAAATTATTATATAAATGATCCAAATATGTTATTTTGTTAAATATTAAATTATTTAATGCTTAGTTTATAAAATAATTAAAAAAAACTAATATACAAATTATGATAAATTTTTTAAATTAACATGTATTAAGTAATTTTAATTATTTTTAAAAATATAATTAGATTTAAAAAAGATTAAATTTAAAAGATAACATTAATTTATTAATAATATAATTAGATGATTTTAATTAATATAAATTAAAAAAATATATATTACTTTCTTTGTTCTGATTTTTTTTTATTTTTTTATAATTTTTTTATCTCAATCAATAATAAAAAAAATAGTAGGAAAAAATGTATATTTTTGACTACCATTTTTTTGATTGAATTTTTAAAAATAAATAAATGAAATAAAAAAACAATTTTATTATTTTTTTTTAATATAACATGTTAAATCTATAATAGTTCTATCATAATTCAAAATATTTTGCGGAAAATCTTTTGGCCAATCATTAAATTTTCCTCATAATATAAATAAAAAATTAATGCATTTTTTTTTAAAAAAATGTATTTTTTGATAAAAAATAATTGAAAATAATCATCTCGCATAGAATATATTCAATTTTAGGGAGGAGATAGAGACGAAGAATATGTATTGATGATTTTAAGTTTATATTATTTTAGTATTTAAATTTCATTTAGCAAATAATTTTTATATAATTAAAGGTTTCATATTATATTAAAATATTTATTTTTATAAATCCAACATAATTAACTTAATAAATTATATATTCTTAGTGATTATTATTCATTTATAATAGCATAATTAATAATTATTTAAATAAAAGAAAATTGTTAACCAAAATTATATTTTTATTGTTTACTTATATTTTAAATATATATAAAATTAAATATAACATTTTGTGCTTTGTTTTTATATTTATTATTGTTTTTTTTTTAATATTCTATCAACAAAAAATGGATGTTTTTAATTTATATTCAATTTATTTTAGCTGATTGAATTTTTAATAAAAATTACTCAAGTAATAATATATAAATAAAAGAAAAATAATAATAATTATTTTTAATTAAAGTTTTTAAAAAAATTATAATAATATTAATTTATTTTTTATATATTATTTTTAAAAAAATAAAACAAGTAATATTCAAAAAAAAAAGAAAATGAGTAAAGTTATAGAAAATTACGTTTTACTAGAAGTAATAGGTAGTGGTTAATATGGTAAAGTATACAGAGCGAAAAACATAAAAAATGAGTAAATAGTAGCAATTAAAGTAGTTTAATTAGAAAAATTTCGTGAAGTGCCAAAACTTCATGAATTCACAATGAACGAAATAAGGACATTGACTAAAATAGATAATCCAAACTGTGTCAGATTTTAAGAAATGTTAAAGACATCAAACAATATGTATTTGATATATGAATATTGCAATGGAGGAACTTTAGAATAAGCAATACACAAGAGAAAATTTTTATCTGAGTAAGAATCAATAAAGATATTTGCATAATTGTTAAACGCATTTAAATCTATAATAAAGGAAAATATATTACACAGAGATTTAAAACCCTCAAATATTCTTATACATAATAACATAATAAAAATAGCAGATTTCGGCTTTTGCAAATCTTTAAGTCACTCACATGATATGACTGCAACAATGGTAGGCTCTCCTATTTATATGGCACCTGAAGTCTTAAAAGGAAATACATATAATTCTAAAGCTGATATATGGTCTTTAGGAGTTGTATTTTTTGAATGTTTATTTGGATATTGCCCTTATGAAGATTAAAGTATAGGAAAACTTATTACATAAATAGACAATAAAGAACTATAAATTCCAAGATATATAAATCAGATTTCAAAAAAAGCAGAAGATTTATTAAGAGCTATGCTTATTGTAGATTAAAAAAAAAGAGTTGAATGGCATGTTCTTTATTAAATGACTGAAGAGAAATTCAATATAAATATTTAAGCAATAAGTAATTAACCTATTGCAATTAACTTTCAAACATAATTGATAAAGAAAAATTCATCTAGTAATTTAGCATTATAAAGTAATTAATAATAAAACGGATTATATTTTGTAAATAATAATAATAATATTAATAATAATAATAATAATAATAATAATAATAATAATAATAATTTAAATCTTCTTAAAATTGAAAATAATAAAGATAACTTTTAATAATTCTTAAATTAGGCTTTGTCATAATAAGATTAAAACTTCGTTTAAAATTAAAACAATATAGCAAATAATAATTTAATACAATTTAATAATAACAATAATGCTAATAATATTACAAACAATAATAATAATACAGTAAATAGTACTAATAATAATACAACAAGTAATAGTAGCTAATAATAAAATAATTTCTAAATTTAAAATACTTAATTTACATAACATAATTCAAATATAAATAACTTTTCTTTAAATCATAATACTAGTAGTAATTAAATTTCTTCAAATAAATTATATTAAAATAATTTCATTTCAAGTTTCCAAAATTCTAATAATAATGTTTTTTCTACTAATATTAATAATACTATTTCTTCTACAGGAGGAAATAATCTTCTTAATTCACTTAATAATTTATGCTCAAGTAATAATTTAAATATTTAACCTACAACTACAAAAAATAATACTTAGAATTTAAATTATTTAAATAATAATAATTCTAATTCAAATATAAATCTTCCTCTTTCTGCTAATAAAGATTTTCTTAATTAAGTACCATAAACAAACAATATAGGAAGTAATAACTTTAATGAAGATAAATAAAAAATGACAGCTAATTTAAGATTTTTGGTTAAAGAAAGAAATAAAATATAATTCATTTCAAATTTAATCGCTAATGTCCTTGAAATAAATCTAACTTCTAAAGTTCCTATTATTGCTTTTATGTTAATTAAATAACTTAATATTAACATTGATTAATTAAAAATTTCCTGTAATGATCTAAAATAGTCAACTTTTAGTAAAAACATAGAAAAGGTGGAGTTATTCGAAAACTCCTATGAATTTAAATAATTCAAGAATATAATAAATAGAGAACTTCCTTTAATTTAAGGTGTTTTTGAGAACTTTAAATGCGAAATAAACAGATTTTTGAAATAATAAGGAAATGCTTAAGAATATAATTAATTAAAAAATGAAATCAATACAATTAATTAAGTCGATTAAACATTCTTTTAATAAATTCTATTTAATTATATTAATGAAGTTTAAATAAAAGCTAATGAATTATTTTAATACTAAATGTAATACGGATAATCAAATAATTAATTTTTGTAATTATAAAACGAAACTAAATAAACTTTTTAGCATTTGAATGAAATGATTGATTGTTTTTTAATTGAAGAGTTTTTTGATAACTTCATTGATTTAAATACTAAGTTTTATGATTAAAAATACTTTGATAATATTAAAAAATATAAGGTTGAGGCTCTATAGGAATTAGTAAATCATAAATTTGATTATATTAAATAAAAAGTTAATTAAATTGCTGTCTCTTGAAAAAATATTATATATATATTATTTTATAAATATAAAATATAAATTATTAAAAAATATATTTTGTTATATGTTTAAATATTAATATTTAATTATTTATATTTTTATATTTATTATAATATATATTGCATTATAGATATATCCTTTTTATAATTTTTAAATACTTTATAAAAATATCAATTAAAAAACAGAAATAATATATTTTTTTATTCATATATATTGTTAATTACTTTTATAAAAAAGTTATATTTTAGATAAATAATAATTTTTATTTTTTAATTTATTATTATTTTATAATTAATATAATTTTTAGTTTGTATTATTGAAAAAATACTAAATTATACAAAAAATTTAGTTTTGTTAATAAATTTGTATAAAAATAAAAAAAAATGA